ACAGTAACAAAATGCCGACCCTAATAAACGCACGTTACTGGATCTAGTAGCTCCAGGGTCTCAAACAGCAAGACTGGGTTCTGAAAGATTGCACTAGTTTTTAAACCCTTAAATTCTTCTACCACCAATTGACCATCTGCATGTTTTTTACATTCAGATATCGATGAGTGCTTTGAACAGAACATTAATTGTGGATCAAATCAGATGTGTTTCAACATGAGAGGAAGCTACCAGTGCATAGACACACCTTGTCCGCCAAACTATCAGCGGGAGCCTCTTTCTGGGTACGTTTTATCGTCAGCCCCTTTTCACCTGCCCCAAGCTCAGATCCTTAACCTGTATGCATTAAAGTAGAAATTTTAAGTTTTTAAAGTTTTAGTCAGAAGCCATCTTTTGTGATCAAACTGAACTGGAATGACATTTCAGTTGAAATGGGTAATGTTCTTTGGCCTCTGCTTGCACTGACAAGCAGCAAAGATCTCCTGTTTTGACTTTTGATTAATAGAAGTAAAATTTACTCTGCCCTTCTTCATTCCAAATTCTTTATGATCTAACGACACACAGACACCTCAAATGGAGCTGCTTGGTACATTTGAAACCCACCTTTCCAACTCGCATGCTTAAGAGAAAGATCACTAAAACGTACCGCCTTGACTTCAACGACAAATATTGTATCTGGTATCTTTACACTGCCTCTTGATGCTTTCTGAGATGATCCTGTTGAGAGAAAATGGGACATTAAACTGGGCTGCAACTTTAAAGAGCAATAGATAAAGAGTGCATGAGCATATTAACCTTCATAGAGAAGTTCTAATCTGCATACTGCACCAGGGTCAATGGGAAGACTCTCCTTTCAGACCTACTGCAGTACTTACGATGTTGTGCCTTCTCCTTGGGTTCTCTCAGGTTCTGTCTCAAAAACTGCCCGGACAACGACTTGGAGTGTGATCCGAGTACCTATGCCTTGGAATACAAACTCCTTTCCCTGCCCTTCGGCATAGCTGCCGGTCAGGATTTAATCCGGCTGGTTGCCTACACCCATGATCAAGTCATGCACCCAAGGACAACCTTCCTAATGGCAGATGAGGACCCAACAATCCCATTTGCCCTGAGAGATGAGAATTTGAAAGGAGTCGTGTTCACCACCCGACCGCTGAGAGAGCCAAAGACTTACCGCATGGGAGTCAGAGCTTTATCCTACAGCGTCGACGGAAACATTGAGTACCGGACAACTTTCATTGTTTATATAGCCGTGTCAGCCTATCCCTATTAAACACCCAAACTACTTGACAGTAAGCGCAGTATTTTAACCATGTTTGTAAATGCCGGTGGGTCTTACCAGTTCCAGACTGACCCTACCGCCTACCCAACAGTTGTGAACCATGTCACTTGAAAGTGGTGCTATGCTCTTTTCTTTTTCCCTCCTTCCCTGAGGCTGCCTATCCAGTCCCATTATTCCAATTCAAGGGGAAAAGCCATGGCTTTGAGGACCTGTTACCACTTGCTTTATTTATTACACTGGAGCAGTCATTTTCCACAGTTTGTTCTGAAAAAATCAATAGAAAAAGCAAAGTATGAGCTGATGTATGTGGTCAAAGTAGTAAGCAAGGAGCAGCCTCTGTTGAAAGCAGCTAAAGAAAAGCTTAACCAGAAGAAAAAAAAAAAAAAAGGAACTTCAAGTGATCTACATATTTTAAAGGTTGCTAAGTGTTTTACAAGTTTATATCTATTAGATTTTTTTTTTTCATATCAAATACCTGATAGAATTAGGGCTGTAATATACTATGTCATGTGCTCAAAAAACCAAATACCACTGTGCCTAATGGTTGCACATGCTGAAACAAATGACATGAAAGTTTGCTTTCAGCTAAAGAACCTACACTAGAATTTGGAACTTGTACATTTGATTTCCATGCAAGTTGAGAGATGTCACTGTTTTTTGGAAGAAAAACCAAAATGGCTACTTCTACTTTATACAGCAGGTATTTTATAACTTTTTTTTTTTTTTTACTCTGACATTCTGGTATAGCCATTTATTTAGCTCAAAACCATATCCATTTCAGTACTCCCAACTCAGTTAAAATGTTTTGGGTTTTTTTGCAAATGGAACATTTTTCTCCAAAGATGATGTAAGTTTGGTTCAATAATGTCAATACACTGTACACAAGTAATTTTGCCAAGATGTATTCTATTTTTATGAAAGTGTATATATTTTTTTCCTATGTGTATTTTCTATTCAGTATCTCGAGTGTTTTACAGTTAAGTTTGCATAAAAGGCCAATGTCAATACATTGAAAATAATCAAAATAAAGGTTCTCGTTGCCTTTGAGATTGCTGTGAGTTTTGTTAATTGAAAAAAATTCTTTCCCCTTTGTAAAGCACTTACCTTTAGTGCCAGTGGAGAACGCAGAAGGTGGGGTGCATAGCAAAGCAGGGAGCAGCATGCACACAGGCAGCACGGTCTCCTGTTTATCGTGCTACTGGCTTCCCTGCACCCTTCAGGTTGTTTTTTTTTTTAAAAAAAGTCAATGAAACTGGTGCACTTACTGTAAGACCACTTATTTTATCCAGAGCCTACTGACTAAGAGACATCTCATTTCCTCAGAGGAAATGGATTTTGCTAAGAGTCACATATTTGTTGCATAGAAAGGGGGCGTTTATTCATAGATATACTCAACTCATTGCCAAATATGAAATAAGTCACTATCATTCATTCCCATGTGTATTAAAAAAAAGAAAAAAAATAAATCATTGAAGGGCAATAAGATCAGAGCCCCCTGGAACTTACCAACGTTCAACGTTTTGCTGCTTTCAGTCAAAGTGAGAAAGAGACACCAGCAAAGCCCCTCCAGCTGCAAGCGGAGGCTGAACCGGAGACTCCAGTTTCTGTGTTGCATGGCTGGGATGCGAGGAATGGACCAGGAATAACTCATTTCACCACCATGCCCCTGGCTTCAGCTGTCTTCCCTCTACCTGGCACTGGAAAGATTCTCACCAGCAATAACGTACATTTTTAGCAAGGGGGTCAACTTGCTCTGCAATGGAATTTTGACTTGATGGTTGAATGTTACTAACACTCCCTAGTGAAAACAGTTTTCCCCTAATCTTGCTTTTTGTTCCATTTCCATTGCAACAATTGAGAGTGTCCTGGAAAACAAAGCTGACTTAAAATCAGTGGGCTCTTTGTAAAAATGTGTACAACTGACAGACTTCAAACAGAATAGGTTCGTTTCTTGGAAGCCTCACTTGAAAAATAAAAGCAGTTAGGAAGAAAACTTTCATGACAAAGTTAGGCTAAACCCTGGATGCAATTTTTTTTTTCCTCCCATAAAGAAAGAAAAAAATAACACCAGGTTTCAGTGTCTAAGGGATGTACAGCTGAGCCTGCAGCCATTTTGTCCAGTCCCCTCCCTTAGTCTGCAGAAATATTTGCAAGATCAAAGGTTCACTGCAGTCCTATGAAAGGATGAGACAGTCTCCCTATCCTTTGTCCTAAGACATTTTGCAAATGTCCTCCTATCACAAGCACGCCTGTACAGAATTGTCATCTAGAAGACTGCCTCCATCCTCGGGTTTCTGTGTCCCACTCAGTGGCTGGCTGTAACTCGGGATAACCAGGGCTGGGCAGGAAGCAAGCCTGGCTTTTTGAGAGGAACCCCATTTATGTCTGCATCAGCGCTGAAAGGGAACCGCTGGCTCTCTGCTGGCCTTATCTCAATCATCATAATACATTTTAAAGAACACATCAAAGAATGTTGGAAGTTAATGGTTAAAAGGCTGCTCCCCATGCAGCTTGATGAGCAGACGCAGCCCTGAAGCTGTCTCTGTAGGGTCAGCATTGTATGGCTGCAGCTGGACAACAGGAGCCAGGACCTGACAGTGCAACCTCCCTGGACATAGAGCCAAGGAGTGGTGGGGAGTGATGAAAGACACGGGGCAAAGAATCAGGAATCCTGTTAAATTGTTCAATTATAGACATGAGCTCTTTCCCAGCAAGAAAGCGTGAAAGTCCCTTCATAAATCTATTTCATTGCAGAACACTGTTCCAGCATGCTCAGAGCAGCACATGAAAACCTTAAGTTCTTGTTTAAAAAAAAAACACAACAAAACCCCAACCACACCACCAAAACAAGTGTGGTTTTTGTTGTTGTTGTTGTTGTTTTTTTTTTTTTTTTAAAGTCCCAGTAAGAGCACTTGTTTTGGGTCGTTCAGAGATGTGCTGAGTATCTTCAGTGCTACCTCGTGCCTGTGCGACCGCCCTTCTGTCCCAGCCTGCTCTTGTCACTGCTCCTTTGATTCCCCGGGGAGGTAACACAACCCTGTTCCCAAAACACACCCTGTGACACAGGCTAGCTCCTCCGTTCCTGGGCCTTACCTCGCCACAAACATACCATTTAATTAACTACACTACCAACATCAAACGTAGGCTGTGAAAGGTGGCAAATGCCTTTTATACCTTACAGAGATCAATTTAAACTGCCAGTATGTGTAAGTGCCACCACGTGGCATTCCAGCTGGGCACACAGGCCTCCCTGACGCTCACCTCCACCTGAAACACATTCAATACGGGCTACCCACTTTTTGCAGCACTGTGTATTCCAGGAAAACACCCTGCCACATCTGAGCCTGTGCCAGGGCACAGCACAACCCCCTTTTCTCCCACAAGCGATCCTTCCTTATTAAAGCCTAAAGGAAACTACACACCAAGATGCAGCACTTTGCAAAAAAAAATTGGGCACTCCCTTCCGAATATAGATGTTCTAGCAGAAGAATAAGGCACGAAAAGGAGTTCAGGGACGAAACCAGGGCAGATCGCCAGAGAGAACAGAAAGTTCACAACCCTCCCCCCCAGTTCCATGGCAGGCGTTCAGGTCCTGAGGAGGGGGGAGGTATCCCCCATCACACCTTCTGTAGAGAGCCAGCTTGCCAGTCCCTTGAGAGAGGAAATCCAGGGGGGTTTTGTTTTTCTTCACACACTGGCTGAATTGAAAAGCTACCGCATGGGTACGGTAATGAATCACCGCAGAATGCATAGTGCTGTGGGTGAAAGGGAAATCAGGCCACCAGATGAGAATGATGTGCAGAAAAGACAAGAGCAGCAGTGCTTGACAGGTAAGTGTCCACTCCCCACGTAAGATCCCGACCGTCAATGCTAAAGGAAGCAGAAGGATAATGAGTAAAGGGGTCGTCATCCCTCCCCCATCGGCGTGGCAGTTACAGGCAGGACTCTGCTCTCGGGGTGCAAGCAGGAGCTCTGCTACCCTTTGACTTCAGAAGCATTTCTAGTTCTGGCAGCTCAAATCTAAGGCTGCTGCCAATAAAAACTTGGCACGTTACGACCTTTGAAGTCCACGGGTTAGCTTATGAGGCTGGAATCCAGCCGCCCGCCCCGCAGTTGCACACAGGAGGAGAACAGGACATGCACGCATGGCCAACACCTGGCCTTGGAGGTTAATCACCCAGGCAAAGGGATGCAAAACAAAACCCTCCAGCACAATTCCGGTTAAACTAATCCCTGCCGAGATGCTGTACGAATGTACAGATGGGCGAGGGCTCCTGGGCACCTCTCGCGCTTTGTTTCTGTGGAAAGCCTATGGGCAGATGAAAGCTCCTCCAGCCTTCTGAGCTTCAACCTCTGCTGCAGATGAGAACTTTTTTGATTCAGCACAAAACCAGATGGATACCACCTGCAATGATTCAGCACCGCACCGAGAAATCAAACACTGAAGTCTGGAAATTCAAAACACCTCTACAGCAGCGTTCGTTAATGCTGAAGAGCCCAAACAGTCCGTGACTTCCTTAAGTACGGCTGCTTTTCTTGCTGGGAAATCAGAGACAGCTTCAGCTCTTGCACAGACAGCAATGCTTCTGCTCCGTATGGGCTACGAGAGGCCCTTAGCAAATGCCTTTATTTTCCCTTTTCTTCCCTGGACAAACTGCGAGGCACAGGGCAGCTCGCACCGAAAGGAGACAGCAGTGAGTGCCAGCCCATTGCCAGAGCTGAGCGGGGTGCTACACATCACGCACCCAGCAGCGTTGCTCTAATAACACCCAAGCACAGCGGACCCAGCCATGCCCTGTGAATAACGTTACATGTAATCCTGAGCTGAGAAGCAGATTTTTATAAACACATCTGCATGACTGGGCACACTTAACACAACTCCAATCACTTTTCAGATCACTGGGTTCGGCTATTCAGCATCTTCAGCGTACAGCTGGTGCCAGACAGCACACGCAGCTGCTGCTTCTGCTTTGGTAATTTAGCATGAAAGAGAGAATACCTGCTGGCAGGTAAAGGCACAGGGATGGAAAGAAGCTCTTTACTATTTTACACAAACCAGATTCCAATGGCAATTTATGAATAGCCAAATGACAGGGGCGTCAGAAACACAATCAAGCCAAGAAGTTGTTCAGATGGCAGAGCAAAGGTTAAGAAGGGCTCTTAACTAATGCTGTGCGACTGCCGCAGGAAGAAGAGCATCTCAGTTAATTTTTCACTGTATGTGAGGATTATAAAATTGTGGCCATTCTGGGGCTGAGCACAAATTGAGATAATTTCTTGGATCTTGGATAAAACACACATAAGAAAAAAAAAAACAAACAAAAAAAAACACACCAAAAAAAACCAGTGCTCGTTAGAAAGATTTTTCCTAAAACGGAAAGAGCTAGCACACAAGAGCAAGGACTACACAATTCCTGTTGCTTCTTGATGGCTTAACTAAGTGGCTCAATCTCTCAAGTGTGATTCTTTAAAAAAAAAAAAAATCCATACGCTGCCTGTGAAAACACATAGTGAATCTGATGTGCAGAGTTCACCTGGAATTCAGAGGGGTTCAGCCAACTAAGGACCGAGACAAGCCCCCCTCCAAACCTCTTAACGGCTTGTCTCGCCCCACCCCAGTGGACTGTCGAGACAGGTTTTTTGTGATTCCCCAAAAAGGAGCACTGGCTAGGTGGAGTCAGACACTGGAGGAAACAATACAGCACAACGTTATTTACCTCAGCAACTGCTAAACCATCAGGAATCAACTTCTCCAAGGCAAGCACCAATTCACACTTATCAATTATCACCAAACATCACTTAGCCATTAAGCAAGCACCAGATAACGCTCAATCATTATTTGAGGCTAAAATCAGACAGAGGACAGTACTAAAGAGTGGAAAAGTAAGAAAGGGCGGCAGAAAGAAAGAGATAAAGAGACACAGACACCCAAACAGAGACACAGAGAACACCACCAATCCCTCGTTCCAGCACGTGTCTTCTCTTCAGGCAGAAACTCCGTGTGTGGGGTGGTGAGGCAGGAACTCCGTGTGTGGGGTGGTGATGGGTCGGCGGGGAGCACAGTTCGGGCTCACCTTTCATACAGTTTGGTTCAGTTCAGTCCTGGACTGGCCCTTGAGGGATGCCCAGCATCCAGGCCACCTTCAGGGTTGACCTTTGGGGGACGCAACAGCCCTGCATCCAGGTCAGCTTGGGGGGAGCAGCTGGTTCTCCACCGAGGAGATGACTCCAGCCCTCAGCGCCCATGTCCCACCTGACAGATGTGCCCCCCACTCAAGACATTAACAACTTGCTAACGTCCTAGACATGGTGGCGTCTCTTCTTCAGAAATGTTCTGTCCGAGTGCTCTGCCCAAGCACTCCTGGTGGAGTCTCTTCCTTAGAAAATGTTCTGCCCGTTTGAGACATAAACATGGATCATCCCAGAGGGGATGGGTAGGAGTCTGATCCCTGACACAGCTTAACGAACAGCAGGCCCAGTCACACAAACCATAGTCCAGCCCTCCTTCTGCTTGGACCACATGAAGTGTCTCAAGAAAGCCTCTCACAGAAAACACCTGAGACGTATCGAGAGATCTGGACAGTACGGGTGTGACCTAGCCCATAATTAAAGCATGGCCAAACTCTCTTGCTACACAAAACTGCAGCACAGCCACTAACAAATACTTACAACTGTATGTAAAAGCTTCAAAAAAAGAACGTATCTAATTTTGGCTCTACAACTTCGGAGGCAAAACCCAGCCAGGGTCCCTGCAGGGAAGAACCCTGTGAGAGGCCGCAGTTACTGCCGTCCCTAGGAAACGCAGCGGCACACAACACAAAGCCAGGATCCAACTCCAACAGCCTTCACAGGATTTTAGCTGGATCGCCTCTAGCATCCAGTGCTGTAGATCTAAGAAGCGAGGATGGAAAAGCTGGGAAAAGAATGCATTCCCAAACACCACGGAGCTGGCAGAGGCACGTCACTGAAGGCAGGCCAACGAACGGGACTTCTCTGCATCCAAAGAGAAAGATGCAGAGTGCTCTGATGGAACCCTGTGGGGGACTGCAATTGAAGAAGCAAAAATACAATATGAAATCAAAATTAAAAACACGTGCTGAAGCTACTACAGGAGCTTTAGTGACAAACTGGGCAGGGCAAGGCACTTTTGTACCAGGACAGTGCTGCTTCTGCACCAATGCCCTGGCAGTTCACCACCTGCGGACAAATCTTAAATCCTACAGACTTTACGTGTAGGAGACAGGCTGAAAAGATGTTCAAATCTGTGACAAAACCATCACCTCTTCAATTTCTCTTCTGCTTAAAGGTACTTGACTTTGAATACTAACCTTGTAAATAACTCTGATTACATCAAATTTATTCATCCTTCCTCATCATCATCTGCTAACGGAATTAGCTCACAAATCTTCACATATTTACCAACCGTACAGGTCAGCTTGCTTTTCGCTGTTCTGGCCCTGATCGAAATAAAATATTTGTGGTTTGCTTACTGGCTCCTCTGCAATGCTCTCAGTGATGAGGAGGCTGATAGAGAACCTCAGATTGGGTGTAACCCTGCAAAGCCTTTGCCAAAATATTACCGCTAACATTTCGCAGCTCATGTTTTGAAAAGATTTTGGATGCATAAACGATGTTGTCCTTTAATAGATGAGGCTGTAGCACAGAAGTGGTTTGTGTTCACCAACTGAAGCGCACAGCAAGGTAATACCGTGGTGTTCTCACCATGTGCCGTAGCTTCGCTGTAGACAAGCAAAAAGCCATCAGTAGTTACCAGAGTCACATCAAATGAAAGCCAGTCACAACCTTGCTAAACCCCCTGACTGCCTTCAGACCGGACACCTCATCTGATCTAAACATATAAACAGTTCTCAGCAGACACTAAGAACAACAGCAAAAGCTGAGTTTTACTTAGAGCTGATGTAAAATAAATTTTCCTGATAGGGATTTGAACATGATAAACAGGACGAAAAGGATAGCTCACAGAATGAATTACCACAGCATGAAAAAGAGCATCTGCAGAGCAGCTAGTAAAACCAGCCTGCATTTTGCTGAGAGATGGCTTTTCTGAGAAACAAAGTCGTTATTTGAGCAGCCAGGTTCAGCACTGAAGTACAGCCTTTGCCAGACTAGCCACCGTTTATTTATAAAGCCAAATAAATCACATAGCACTGCTTTTGCTCCCACCTTGTGCGCTGGAAAAGAATTAATAGAAAATAACAAACACTGGATCTCCAGCCTGAAACTGGAATCTAAACTAGTTGTGCTGAAATCAGAGACATTTTCACGACCTAGAGACATGTAAATAAATTGTCAGTATTTGTATGAGTGAGAAGTGGCTGTGTCCGGGCATTTAATTTGCAAAACACTAATGCACACTGCATGCATGCTGTACATGGAGCCTATTCCCCAGCTTGTCACTGTGTGTCTCTAAATTGATTTCTTCCACGTGTAATCTCAGCCTGACATCCCCCGACGGATGGATGGATGGATGTCTGCTCAACCTGACAAAACCAAAACTGTCTCTTCAGTGGCTTTTCTGCCAGCCTTCATTTCTTTCAACAAATGCTTCTGATACTCAGGTACACAACCCAGACAACATCTTCAATTTAGACATTTGGTCTGAATTACACTGAAGTCAAAGGTTTTTTTCCTTATACATCATAACAATACTGCCATCTCCACTCACACCTAAAAAGCTGCAATGCCTATCACAGCGCGAGCTTTATATGCCTGAGCATCGACTTTCCAGCCGTCTCTCAATCATTGCAATAACCTTCTCTCTGACCACAGCAAATCCTTTTTCCCCACTCACCGTAATTCTGCTTGCTGC